CCAAGATTACCCCCAGACATACAATCAAGCAGTAAACAATACCCTAATCAAGGAACTACCAGATATAAAAATAAAACCCACACCCACACTGGCAGGGCATGCCACAGTATATAAACAGAGAGCAAACCCCACTCCGTTCTAGCACTGAAGATGTTACCTAGCCAGGTAACGAAATGTTTGCAAGAAAAGAACCAAGCTCAGAGAACCCCAAGGACTCCACAGTTCAACCCTGAGCTTCTATTGCAGAAGGCTTTTGCAAACTTATAGATTATTTGGTTTTAATTGTTAATTGTTAATGCTTCAAGGTGACACTGCACCTTAATTCTGCCGTTCTGGTGATACAAATTAATTTAATCATAGAATCATAGAATTGTGGAATTGAAAGAGCTAAGAATCAACTTGGATATTTAAAAAAAATAATTTCAATGGATAGAATTCAACTTTGCACTAGTGGATTTTTTATATTATGACAGAACTGTCTTCTGTACTTTTGCAGTCCCCCAGGGTTTTCAAATTCTGCTCAGTAAAATAATAGGGACTTTGGGGCAGCATTTGAGGATGTACAATTTATCTCTCTTCTTCAGTTAGCAGATATTTCCCCCACCCTTCCCAAAATTGAGTTGAGTTTAAACGTGCCTAGATGCTATGCTTTCTTGCAGACAACTCTCATCTTCATAAGAAAACCAAATAGTTATTTAGTTAGTTCTTGATTATGGTCACTGACCAGAATTCTGCAAATTAACAAAGTAAATGAACTGTTTCTGTTTCAAGTAAAAAAGAAAAAAAAAAGCAAGACAATCAGCTCTCCTTGATTTGATACTAATCAATAAGAAAGGCTTAGTTGAGGAAGCAGGAGTAGCAGAAACTTACAGCATCATGCTGGAGTACTTGATTTTAAGGGAAACTAAAACTGAGTATAGTCAAACATTTACATTGGGCTTCAAAAGTAAAATTTAATAAACCCAGGGTAATCTGAGGCCTATAAACCTAACTTCTCTAAAGAGAAATTGAAAGCTGTACACACTTAGTTTTGAAAAAAGATACCTCAGAACAGTTATTGATAGTACTTTTCAAATATCTGAAAGGTTGTCATACAGAAGATCAAGTCCTGTTCTTTCATTCCAGAGCACAAGATACAAAATAATATATTTAAGCCACAGGATGCCTGTTGAATATTGGAAAAAATACCTTTCCAGCAGTAACAGCAGCTCAACAGTACACCCAATTACCCAGAGAGGTGGTAGCCACCTTTTGTTAGCTATGTATAAGCAACATCCATCTAGGAAGCTTTGGACTCCTACACTGAACAGGGTGCAGGACTTCATAGCCTAAATGGTCCTTCCAACTTCTATGATTCTAGAATTTTGTTGGGTCTCATTCTACGTTCCCTCCATCTCATTTGCGGTTATTTAAAGTTGAAGGAAAGACAGTTATGATCCATTCATGTTTCTTTTTTCCCATTTCAGGGTCGAATACACTGAAAATAAATGTTACAGTTGAACTTTATAAATGTTCTTTAAATTAAAACTAAGAGAGATAACTATTGACTTACCCTTTTCTCTCAGTAAAACATACAGTTAAAAGTTAATATGTTAGGCTGAAATTTCCCCACAGAATATGAACTTTAAAAAAAATTGTAACAAGAGAATGATACAAGGAAGTGATATTTAGGAAGCATATTTTTTTACATAATGCTTTTTAGTAAGATATGAACTCCTCCCTTCTAACCCTATGATTCTATGAGTACACTAGATTATCAGCCTGTCATTCCTTTGCTACACGCAGCATTCCCTGCTAAAATGGTAAGGACATACTTGAATTTTAGAATGTTTGCATTAATATAAAATGGAAGGTTTGTTGCTGAATGCAGTAAAAGCCACATAGGATGGAGTAAAGTATCTGTAAATGAATAAGTAAACTTTTAAGCACCACTGTAGATAAATTTGTGTGCCTTGGTGTAGTATTTACTAAGGATGGAAAATCATAGGTTTCTGCCCCCTTGGTTATATGGAGTTGGGTATGTCAGGAGAAGCATGCAGTGAGTGGGAATGGATTATTGAAGAAATGTGGATGGTAAAACAAGAAGAGATGGGGTCAAGAGAAAATGGGTAATAAATGAATATGGGCTGAACACAGAAGAGGGTGACCATAACTACATAGAGGTGGTCATTATAAAAAGAATGAGGATCAAGTCCCAGGACACCCACCCACCCACACACATATATATATATATGAAGGAAGACAGAATAAATTGTTAGGAAGCAGAAAACTAAGAAAATAAGATTTCCTGCGATTCCCAAAAGCACTGGTGAGAAGTTTAAAACACAAAAGGCCATGTTTAAAGCAGTATATGAATGTGTGGAAGCAAAGATGGCTTGCAGGGTTAGGAATTGTATGAAAAATTATATTGACTAGCATTAGCTTTATTTCTTTTTATCTCCTGTTTTATTTTGCTTACTAATTCTTTGGGTCTGTGTATACTTTTCATAATGTGCCTTTCTCTGAAATGGAATAGTGAGATGGGTATGTATGTACATTAATAGTACTGTACAGATGCATATGGAATTCTTCCAGAAATTATGAATAGGCAAATTCCAGAGGAATATTGATCTTCCACTAGTCCAGTCCTATATCTGTTGCTCATATGCATTCCCACTTTCTCTCCAACTGATTGTTTTATACAAGTATTACTATTCTATAGAATGTTTATATTGTAGTGAGAAAACCGTAGTAACTGGTTTTACGCAATTTATTTTTGCACAATATATGGCTGCTTCCTGTAGCCATGTGTCTTATTTGGAAAATGGCCCAGATAATACCACTTTGAGTAAACAATACTGTAGCTGCTAATAACTGGGTTATTAGTGGGAATAACTCTGCCAGTGGTGGCCATGCTTCTGATTGCTACACTTTCACTAGTCTCTCTCCACCTCCACTTGGTTAATCGAGATGTCCCATTAATATAAATCCTCACTCGTCATCTCGAGTAAAAAAGGTGGTGCCGCCGAGCGCTGGAGTTACTGGGTATCAAGGCAGGCTTACGAACTGGCACCGTGACTGATTCGTGGTAACTGTAACTGGGCCGCCACCTCCCTCACCCCCTTCTATGGAGCGAAGGAGCCGGCCGACCTCCTCCCAACCCTCCAAATTCCACTTGTTCTGAAACGTCAAGTATAAAACAGGCATAGTTTTTCTCAGCTTGCCCGACCTTCTAGGCGGCCGCTCGTCATCTGCGCCACCGCCGCGGAGGCCGGGAGATCAGTGTGCCTGGATGGCCAAAGTCCTTGGCGCGAACAAAGACGCTCCTTCCGCTCTGCCGGGCCGGCCTGCCTGCTGAGGCTTGAGCCGGGAGACGGCAAGGGCACACACCGCTTATCACCCGGATGCTCTTTTCTCACCGGGAGCTGAAGCAAGAGGCGCGCTTCGGAGACCAAACTCCTCCCCTGTGGCGAAGAGGGGGAGGAGAGGTGGCGGCTGACCAGCACCTACTCTAACGGGAGTTGCTTCCTGAGACTCAAAGCAAATCTCCAGCAAATCAGGACATTTGCACGGCGGAAGGCTTTCTTATAGAGAGGCTTGTTTAGTTTATGTGCACTAGTGACGCGCTTCCGTGTCTTTTACTCGGTCGGATCCCCAGAACTGGAGAGCAGAAATGAGGATCTCACTAGAGGGCAGCAGAGAGGTACAGAAAGCGCGAGTCCTGTGCTGTCATCTAGCGGCCGTCCTCATTTTTACAGGCCAGATACGGGAAAGTGAAGCACCACGGAGTACTCAGTCCGAGGAGCAAAGCTTTTTAGGCTCGGAGCCAGCGGAGAGCTAATAAAGGAGGAGTGGTGCCATGTTATAGCCTTCAGGCAAAGTGGCGGCACGTGAAGTCGGATGTTGATTGGTGTCGCGCTCACAAATGGACCGTTCTGGAATGCGGCATCCTGGCATGGCGGGAGAGGAAGGCTGATCTTCCGGCTTGGTGGGTCCGTTTCGTGCATGAGAGAAAGATACGAGGGAATGACAGGGAAAAATCGCTCGCAGCTGCGACATTATTGAAGGAAAGGCAGTGCCCTTAGAAACAGGGGTCTTTCACCCACGGAGGCATCATCAACTCTACTTCCTGCTCGTCCCTGAGTCCTGTCGCAGAAATGAAGTCAATTTTACCTCCCGCCAGTCCTAGGACTGTTCGATTCAGGAGGCGTGTCTGTGCGAGAGTGAAACCTTGGATTCGAAGTCCTCTGTTTTACGCGAGGCGGGGCTTGCTGCGTGATGACGTAACACGCTGCGCGGTGAGGTCAGTGTAGTGCCGCCGTTGCTGGTCCCGCTGCCCGTCGCTCGGTCTGCTTTGGTCGTTTTACTTGCGGTACGCGACCCTCCCGGTGGAGTGCGGCGCCTTCTCTGTGGCTGGGGCTTTACGGTATTTGCCCTGATAAGGAGATTGCTGGCAACGCAGCCCGCTCCGGCTTATCGTTTGGTATCAGGTAAGAGCTGGGCCGGGCCGGGAGAGGCTGCGGAGGTTGGTATTCTCCTTGGGTAATTACGTTGCCTTGCCGGCGTAACCCGCATTGCGTAATGTGACCGTTGCGTCAGGCGGATTACGTATTTTGCGCCGGGGCCTATTGCGCAAAGGTCTTTTGAATCGCACCTTTTGGTGATGGGGTTCTTTCTAGGGTTTTCTGAGAGAGAAAGGAGCATTTTCTCTGTCTTTGCATGTATTTCGCAGTTATCGGACAAGTTGTGTGCGGGGCGATTGCGTGGTAGTCGATTTGGTATTTTGCACGGTTACGCGGATTGCGGTAGGTGCTGTGGAGAGCTTGGAGAGGATGCGGAGTTTGCGTAAGAGCGTCGTCGTTTTTCCCTGTAGGATACGTGATTGTCGTAAGCATGTCTGTGTCCTCAGCGCGTACCGCTAGGAACTTGGCGTCCGTTTCCAGGGCGCTTCCCGCCTTTCCCGGCTGTTCGGATGGCTGTTCGCTGGGGTAGATCTCTGTCCGTGCGCCGAAATAGCGGAGACTTTCCGTGTTGGGGAGTCCAGTCCAGTGCGCGGGTGGCGCAGTGAGGGAGCCTGGGCGGGGCGGGTGCTGATGGTACTTCCTGCCGCCGCCATTTTGTCGTCGAGCAGGAGGGGGAAGCGGCCGAGGTTCGGGCCCGGAGGGCAGCCGGCGGGGGGGCAGCGATAGTTTGTGTGGGGGACGGG